GAAGAACATCATCCAAGTTCTAGAAGACATGAAAGGTAATTGTCATATACAAGCTGATACATCTGTATCTCTGAAGAAATTTTAATGTGCCCTGAAGCTTTAAGGAATGGCAACACTGTAAATAAACACAGGTTTATGATGATTATTAAATACCCACAAAACCATGTACCTCAATGTCAGGTAGGTGATCCATGTATCCAAGGCATTTCTTTAAGAAAGAAGACAATGAAACAAGTTAACACGTGACACTATTTTAATGATAGCCCCATGAGATCCATTTTGGACTGTTCATCCCTTTATTTTCATACCATTTAAGTATTATATAGGCATACACATTGATTAGGGGGATCAGTGTCTGTCCAAGATCTTGTATATGCAAATAGTCCATAGTAAAGTTAGTGTTGCTCATATACTTATAAAAACTTACCATAGTTTATTGAGAGGGGCAATTTATGAGAGTCAAGAAGGTTGTCATGGTGGAGAAACCTTAATCTCTATACCACATCTCTATGAGGAACAAAAAGTTAGATTGTATGAATGCAATGTGAAAACCTTTTCTTTGTTATTCTTCCTTTAATAGGTATCTCATCTGTCCTTCTGGCTACAAACTATTTGAACATAAGGGATATGGGAAGAAGCAATGTACCTCTCTCTCTCCTACAACAGTTACAAGACATGTTGGAGTGCCCACTATGAGTAGACTTGGTGAATGTGATACAAGTTTACAATTAATTGGTTTTCCAACTACACTGGGAACACATCAACAAACTCACACTGGAAAAAAGCCTTATGATTACAAGGATTGTGGGAATTCTTCTGTCTGTGTTTGTTCACTTTGCAAATGTAGTGTGACTCACAGTATAGAAAAATGTTATGCATGCAATCAGTGTGGTACAACTCTGAATTCTTCCAGTTCTGTTCAGAAATGTGAAAAAACTCATATGGAAAGAGGAAGTGATAAATGTGAATCATCTACTAATGGCTTTAACCATCACAGGAATCTTCAAACACACAAAAGAACCCATAATGAAGAGGATCTCTATGAATATAATCAACATGATAAAGACTTTAGATTTGATTCCTCTTTACAATTACACCAAAGAACTCATGTGGAAGTAGAACCCTATCAATATAATCAAGGTGCAAAAGACTTTGCACATTTCACTGGTCTCCAGTATCCTGAAAATATTCATACTGTGACAAACCCTATGTATGTAATCAATGTGGTAAAACCTTTTCAAGTCACCATTATCTTAAAATACATGAAAGAATTCACACTGGAAAGAAGCCCTGTATATGTAATCAGTGTGGTAAAGCTTTTGTACATTTAACTAGTCTTCAAAATCATGAAAAAACTCATGCTGGGGAGAAACCCTATAAATGCAGTCAATGTGGTAAGGCCTTTGTATGTCACAGTAATCTTAAGATACATGAAAGAAATCACACTGGAGACAAACACTATGTATGTAATCAATGTGGTACAGCCTTTGTAATTCGATGTAAACTTCAAATGCATGAAAGTACTCATACAGGAGTGAAACCCTATGGATGTAATCAATGTGATAAAGCCTTTGCACAATTCAGTCTGCTTCTAAAACATTACAAAATCCATTCTGGAGAGAAACCCTATGAATGCAGTCAATGTGGTAAAGCCTTTTCAAACCACAGTAATCTTAAGACTCATAAAAGAAGTCATACAGGAGACACACCCTTTGAATGTAATCAATGTGGTAAAGCCTTTGCACATTTCAGTCGTCTTCAAAAACATTACAAAATGTTTATGTCAATGTGGTAAAACCTTTAGAAGTCACAGTTATGTTCAAACACATCAAAGAATTCATACTGGAGAGAAGCCCTATGCATGTAATCAATGTGGTAAAGTCTTTGTAAGTCGCAGAAATCTTAAAATACATGGAAGAATTCATACTGTAGAAAAGCCCTATATATGTGATCAATAAGGTAAAGTCTTTGCACATTCCACTAGTCTTCGAAGTCATGAAAAAATTCACACTGGAGATAAACCCTATGAATGTAATCAATGTGGTAAAGCCTTTCTTTGGCGCAGTAATCTTCAAACACATGAAAGAAGTCATACTGGAGACAAACCCTATGAATGTAACCAATGTGGTAAAGCCTTTGTAAGACGCCATAATCTTCAAATGCATGAAAGTACTCATACAGGAGTAAAACCGTATGAATGTAATCAATGTGACAAAGTCTTTGCACATATTATTTATCTTCAAAGGCATGAAAGAAGTCATACTGGAGATAAACCATTTGAATGTAATCAGTGTGGGAAAGGCTTTTCACAATTCTGTCGTCTTCAAAAACATTTCAAAAACCATGCTGGAGAGAAGCCCTATGCATGCAGTCAATGTGGTAAAGCCTTTGCAAGTAGCAGTAATCTTCACACACATAAAAGAACTCACACTGGAGAGAAGCCCTATGAATGTAATCAATATGTAAGTCGCCGTAATCTTCAAATACATGAAACTACTCATACAGAAGTAAAACCCTATGGATGTAATCAATGTGGTAAAGCCTTTGCACATATTTATCTTCAAAGGCATGAAAGAAATCATACTGGAGACAAACTATGAATGTATTCAATGTGACTTGTCTTTGCAAGTCACAGAAGCCTTCAAAAACATGAAAGGTGTCATACTGGAGAAAAACCCAATGAATGTAATTGATGCAGTAAAACTTTGCAGGTCAGTGTAATCTTCACACATCAAAGAAGTAATAGTAAAAAGAGAAACCCTACAAATGTCAATGTGATAATGCCTCTTTGTGTTACAGTCTTCTTCAAAGGCATGACAGGATTACTCCTGGAGAGAAACACCATGAATCTAGTAAATTCAGTAAAGCTTTGCACACCACACACAGTGTTCTCACTGAGCTGTCTCACTGGTGCTCAAGTAAGATTAGTAGAAGCATTCTATCAGTCAAATATTGTCTTTTTTCAAATTGTAAACAAATTGTCATCCAAGGATAGAGGAGCACGGAATAATTTGAATAATAAAACTTATTTGAAGTATCAGCTTCACTTATTTGCAAATGAAAATAGTTTTTATCCTGCCATCCAGTTTCTTTTCAATTGTGTTAGTTTATTCTAAGGACTAAATGCTTGTTCCTAACGCTTTCTCAGAAACACAAATGAATGACAGGGAATTGTCTCAGTGTATAAAAGTGATTGCTGCTAAGGCTGATGACCTGAGTTCAGTCTCAGGGATACACTACACAAACCAGTTTTTCTTTGATTACTACACTTAGGCTGTGGCATATGCACACCACACACCTGCACACATGAATATCTTTGAAACTAAAGTAAGTAATTAGTGAGATCACTCACCTGCTTAAGGCACTTGCTCCCAAACTTGACTACCTCAGTTTGATCTTTAGTACTGACACAGGAGAAGTAGAGAATACACACCTGTAAATTATCCTCTGCCTGTCACATCCACAGCATGGCACTGGTGTTGCATACTGGTACAAATTTTTAAAGAGATGAAATTAACAAAGCAAAGAAAGTAACCAAAATATTGAGGACATAGGAAATGATTTTCCAATTGAAATTAATACATTATTGTATTCCATGATATGTCACTCTTCAATAAAATAGACAGTTCGTGATTAAGTCCTACATTATTTGTCTCTGATTCAAAGATAGGTCATTTTATAAACATCTCAGCTGGGTGTACTGGTGCACTTTGGAGAGAGGCAAATGGATCTTGCTGAGTTTGAGGCTATCATGGTCCACACAGTGAGATCCTGGATACTTATTGCCATGTAGAGAGATCCTGTCTCAAAAAAAAAAAAAAAAAAGAAAAGAAAAAGAAAAAAAAGAAAAGAAAAGAAAAGAAAATTTAAGTAACTGTGGCATATATCACATTATGGAATTTTCCTGACTTAATCTGGCTTCATCTCTACTCAACTAAACCCTTCATTGTCTTCACTCAGATCAAGAGAACTATGTTAAGAATGGCATTTAGAAGCAATGTGCAGAGTCCATTCATAGAGGGAAAGAAATTCATTGAGTCCTTCAATGACCATGTAGCAGGGATTTTCATCACCTCCATGTGAGAGAAGATAGAAGGAGTCATGGAACGAGTACTTCTGCTGTAAGATACCCATGTTTAGTTCCTGGCACCCACATCAGATGGCACAGAACTAGTTGTATTCCAGCTCTAGGAGATCTGATGCATTTGTCTGGCTTCCTTGCATGCCAGATATGCAAATGGTGTAAAGACAAACATTTTATATATTTTTATATAATAAATTTTTCAATTATAAAAATAAAAATTTGAAAGTCCTTTTAAAAATATGGAGTCATATATATAATATATAATATATATAATATATATATGGTTTAAATACATGTGTGTTTGAGAGAGAAAGAGACTACATATTATAAAAAAGGCTTTCTTATGTATTTTTTTTTACAAATTTAAATAAAAATAATTTAATTTAGGTATATTGTCAGAACATGGTCCTGGAATGGAATCATGTAAGGAGATTTCTGAATGCTTGGGAGAACACTCCCAAAAATACAAGAGTCTTGTGTCCATACTTTCCTCGAAAAACAAAATAGTTCTTAGAAAAACTTTTATGCTCCTCCCAGGTGCAGCAGATAAGAGTGGGGTTACATCAGATTACTCATCATTGCTTGCTGTTGTTATTCAATTAAATGTTTAAACTATTCTTTATATGCCTGTATGGAAAAACATGTCTGGCTTGTCTTTGTCATTGTTTACAGCTTGAAGTCATGAAAACCTTATTAATATGACCTTGTTAACCCTCAGAGTATAAAGTGTTGGGCCATGAATAAAGTTGTCTATGATGTGTGACTTTTGTCTGCCTCATTTATCAGCTCTGTTCTTCCAGATTCCCCTCTAGAATGGTGACAAGTTGCACCTGAGCAGGTACTAGGTCAGCTACAAAAGAAGAGAGTGGGCACCCTCACATAAGGAGGTGACAATAGGGGAGAAACCAGGGAAGGCTTTTGTTTCCTCAAGTTTGTAAATTATTTAATGTAATTGGTGTTTTGTCATGGGTGTTGGGTCCCCTGGAACTGGAGTTACTTGTAGACAGTTGTGAACTGCCATGTGGGTGTTGGGAATTGGACCCAGGTTCTCTGCAAGAGCAGTCAGTGCTCGTAACCACTGAGCCATCTATCCAGTCCTTGTGAACCATTTTTTAAAGAAAAGAGAAGCACAAGCAGCAGTATCACAACTGTTCAACTGTCTGCAAGATGCTTATGGTTAAAGTCTCTCGCTTCCAGAAGAAGGAACCTTAGAATATTTAGATGAAATATGGGACAGAGTCCAAAACAATATTGAAAAGGAACATGAACTAGAAAAAAAACCTTCTTTCAGGCTCCTGTCATTCAATGTGGATAATAACCTGTTACTCACTTCCAAAGAGGAAGAGCTACAATTCATATAAGACATGGCTCGGACATGCTATTTTAAAATGGGCTCATTATTGCACTAAAAAGGTACAAAGTGTGCAAAGTTTGGGAAAACTGGTTGCTAGAACAACTTTTAAACCACACAAAAAAAGTTTATAGATAAGACAATTTAAAAAATAAAGTTAACTTTTATAAATTATTAGGGGGTATTTAATTGGATACATCCTGCTTTAGGAATGTCCAATTATGCACTAACAATACTATTTAAAGCTCTAGAAGGGCCATTGGTGGTGGCACACGCCTTTAACCCCAGCACTTTGGAGCCAGAGGCAGGTGGATCTCTGTGAGTTCCAGGCCAGCCTGGTCTACAGAGCGAGTACAGAGGCTAGACTCCAAAAGCTACACAGAGAAACCCTGTCTCGAGAAAGAAAGAAAAAAAAAAAACCTCTAGAAGGGTTCCTTGCATAGTCTTCACATATTATCTTCTGAGGGAAGAAAACAACTACAGCTATTTGAATCCAGAGTAGAAGAAGCATTTTTGTGTCATGAGGATTCTTCGCTGCCTATACTGGCTGGTTTCCTGTCAACCTGACACAAGCTAGAGTCATCAGAGAGGAAGGAGCCTCAGTCAAGGAAATGTCTCAAGATCCAGCTGTAAAGCATTCTCTTATTTAGTGATCAATGAGGTAGGACCCAGCCCATGGTGGGTGGTGCCATCCCTAGGCTAGTGGTCCTGGGTTCTATGAGAAGGTGGGCTGAGCAAGCCAGGGGAAGCAAGCCAGTAAGCAGCACCCCTCCATGGCCTCTGCATCAGCTCCTGTTTTGAGGACATGTCCTGACTTCCTTCAATGATGAACAGCAATGCTGAAGTATAAGCTTAATAAACCCTTTCCTCCCCAAGTTGCTCTTTGGTCATGGTGTTTCATTGCAGTAATAGAAACCCTAAGACACTGCCTTTGAACTTATTTATTTTCCTCACTAACTTGTCTCCTTATAGTTATTATAAACACCAAAAAATAAACCTCTGGAATGAAAATATTTACACCATAATGGTCAGAAAATACTAAGTGCTCTCCTTACTCTTTTGCTGTGTTATATTACCTCTAACATCAGTGTTTGAGAGTGTTATACAATTCTATGGATTTTCAAATTTTATTTGTAGATTACCATGAAGGGTAGGAAATCATTATCCATCTGGCCAGCAATTAGATTTTCTTCTAAGAACTGAATTTGTGACTACAAAAATTGTCCACTTTCTCCCATTCCACAGGCAGAAATTTATTTTATTGATGGCTTATCTAATGATACACGAGGGATTCATGACCCTAATACTCATCAATTTATTAATACTTCTCTTTCCTGAGCTCAACAGGTGAAACTGGTGTTTTGATTCATCAGTTATGGTTAATTCATTAACCCTTAATTACCGTCTCAGATTTGCTTATGTAGTTGGATGGTTTCCAGCAATAGAAACTGCTTAGTTTTGTCTTCACATCCTGTTATGCTCCCATCACTACAGGAACGACATCAGCTTTAAATCTCTACACATCCCTTGTTTATTAATCATACTCATGTACACTTTAACCTCCCTGTTTTTGTTGCAGAGATAAGTAAGCAAGTTTATGCATTAACCTGCCTGATGTTTACTTCTCCAGAACAGGGGCATCAGCACCTACACACTAATACTAATTGACCTCATGTATGGTGCCACAACCTGTTTAAACAAGTGAGGCAAATTGTGCAGGAATGTCCTACTTGTGCTCTCTTACACTGTCGTGGCCATATAGTTGAATTCAGTTATTCCCAGAGTTAAAAATACTAATGAATTAAGGCATATGGATGTCATCCACTTTCCTCTTTTGCCTCATACCTGCATACAGTATTAACTATTTCTAAGATTCTTTGGGCAGTTCCTCAATCCTCAGAGAATACTTCTGCATTTTGCTCTTCTCTTATACAAACTTTTGCTGTCGCAGGAGTGCCTACTTCTATAAAAATCTAACAGTGGACCACCGTATAGTACAGAAATTTTAGAATTCTGTAAGGAATGAAATGTTAATCATATTACCGGCATTCCTTATAACCCTCAAGGCCAGGATATAATTGAAAGAGCACATAGAACATTAAAACAACAATTATTAAAAAATAAAATGGGGGGCCTTTCGCCGCTGTGTCCGCAGCCATGAGTATGCTCAGGCTGCAGAAGAGGCTTGCCTCTAGCGTCCTCTGCTGTGGTAAGAAGAAGGTCTGGTTGGACCCCAATGAGACCAATGAAATCGCCAATGCCAACTCCCGTCAGCAGATCCGGAAGCTGATCAAGGATGGACTGATCATCCGGAAGCCTGTGACCGTCCATTCCCGGGCTCGATGCCGGAAAAACACCTTGGCTCGACGGAAGGGCAGGCATATGGGCATAGGGAAGCGGAAGGGTCTGCCAACGCTCGGATGCCTGAGAAGGTGACCTGGATGAGAAGGATGCTGATCCTGCGCTGACTTCTCAGGAGATACCGTGAATCCAAGAAGATTGACCGCCATATGAATCACAACCTGTATCTGAAGGTCAAGGGGAATGTCTTCAAAAGCAAGCAGATTCTCATGGAACACATCCACAAACTGAAGGCAGGCAAGGCCCGCAAGAAGCTCCTGGCTGACCAGGCTGAGGCTCGCAGGTCTAAGACCAAGGAAGCCCGAAAGCGCCAGGAGGAGCGTCTCCAGGCTAAGAAGGAGGAGATCATCAAGACGCTATCCAAGGAGGAAGAGACCAAGAAATAAAGCCTCCCTCGAGTCTGTACATAGTGGGCCGCCTGTGGCCACAGGTGGATCAGTCATTAAAATAAAATAAGCAAAAAATAAAAAATAAAAAAAATAAATAAAATGGGGGCTGAGAGGTGGTGGCCTACGCCATTAGTTCCAGCACTCGGGAGGCAGAGGCCAGCCTGGTCTGCAGAGCAAGTTCCAGAACAGCCAGAGTTACATAGAAGAAACCCTGTCCAAAAACCAGAAAAATGAAATAAAAAATAAAACAAAAAGGAGCACAAAAGGGCATTCTTGCACTTATTTACTCTCGATTTTAAAAATTCACCTTCTGGTGATGTATGCTTGAGAGCTAAAAATCATTTCTTTACAGAACATTCTGAATTGCCTTTAAATTGGCCTGTGTAGTTTAAACAGTTTGAGACTTTGAATCCTAGTTGGCTAAAGAAAATTGGGAAGGGGATGCATCTGTCATTACCAGTTTATCCATTGAATCATTACAGATTCCTCTTTAGCTACTCTGGCTCCTGGCCATAAAGGATGATGATAAAGGGTAAGGAGATAGTGAAAGTTACCAGAAAGATAGCAAAACTCCAGCTAAAGGGTAAAAGCAGATATGGAACATATCATTAGTATTCATGTCTGCCCACCAGGGGCCAAGTTAAGGCCCTGTACACCAAGGGAGTAGTAGTTATTTTATGAAATACACAGAGCCTCATGTTACCTGAGAATCTTTTTCTGGTAATATGACCTGCTTTGACCTATGTGTCTGTGGTGAGTGCCTCTGATCATTTGTATTGGTCTTTCATTCCTCATCCTCCTCTATTTCAATTTGTAGGTTGAATAGGTCCAGCTCCTGTTATCTTTACTAATGTCCCTGTGTTTATGACTGGACTTGGGGACAATAATAGACTCATCAATCTGAAGAAGGGACTGTATTCAGTTTTTCCTTTGGAGTCAAATCTCTTCCCATTTGCATAGGACACTTTTTACATTAGTATTCCTATTAAAGGTAATACGGGCTGATATTCTATTAGATACTAAAACTGTTCATCATAAGGGTCTCTTTTTAAGCTATTCTCTAGAATGCTCTCTAGACCACATATTAATGTTCTTCTCTGAACCTCTTGAGGAATTCACTCATAGTCCAAATCACCCTCAGCACCATTGTCTTCCAAGCTCCCACTAGAATGGCCCAAGAAGCAACACTTAAAGCATTCAACAGCTTTTCTAACCAACGTCCCAATGTCCACATCCTCCGAACAAAATCATGGTCTGGCCTATCACAGCCACATCCCAGTCCCTGGTACCATCTTCTGTCCTAGTTAGGGTTTTTAATTACTGTGAAGAAACACCATGACCATGGGAACTCTTACAAAGGAAACATTTCATTGGAGCTGGCCTACAGTTCAGAGGTTTAGTCCATTATCATCATGGAGGGAAGCATGCAGGCAGATATGGTACTGGCGAGTCAGCTGAGAGTTCTAAATCCAGATGAACAGGCAGCAGGAAGACATGGTGACACACTGGCCAGGCTTAAGCATCTGAGACCTCAGAGCCCGCCCTCAGTGACACATTCCTGCAACACAGCCACACTTCCTAATAGTGCCACTCCCTGTGAGCCTATGGGAGCCATTTTTATTCAAATCACCACAGTGTGTATAGGTCTGAAGATATGAAAGCTTAAGTGTATGGGTTATAAAGGTATAAAACTTTCAAATTTCTTACCCCTCTGTGCTACTGTTATACTAAATTGTCTATAGTTCAAAATTTCAGCATCAATCAATGGAGTTCTGACAAGCTGGTAAAGCACAGAGTACTATTATTAGTCACAAGCTCAGGATTTTATATTTGCTTTGGCTGTCTTCTCAGTATAGACTTAAAAGTGCTCTTAATTATGCTAAAGACATCTGTCAAATATACATGTCCCTCCCTCCAGACAAAGTGTTCATGCTGTAATCCAGAATCACTTTTGGGTCCCCAAGCTTCTGTGTCTCAGAGGCATGAGTCTACTGCCTTTTGTACGATGTGGAATTGAATACAGATTGCAAACAGTGGTAGTGCTAACATATCTAAAACTTTCCTCTCATTTTGTAAACTCAAAAAATCTTGTCAGCTTCAGGGTGGTGACTTGGCTCTACCTTTGGCAAGTCAAATGGACTCCAGATAAGTAAGTACTCCTTAGTTTCACAATCTGCCTATTCCTGAGGATGGGATCTCTCAATCACTCTCTCTCTCTCTTGATTTTCGGGACTACCCTCCCCCAACTACTAGGACCATGGGCCTAGAAGTTTCAAATATATACTTTGTATAAAAATTTTCTCTTTGCATTTTCAGCAACAATGGACGAGAGTTCCCCTTGCTCCACATCCTCTCCAGCATAATCTGTCTTCAGTGTTTTTGATCTTAGCCATTCTGACGGATGTAAGGTGGTATCTCAGAGTCATTTTGATTTGCATTTCCCTGATGATTAGGGATGTTGAGCAATTCCTTAAATGTCTTTCAGCCATTTGAGCTTCCTCTGTTGAGAATTCTCTGTTTAGCTCTGTAGCCCATTTCTTAATTGAACTGTTGGGCATTTTGATGTCTAATTTTTTGAGTTCTTTATATGTTCTGGATATCATTAAAGAACGGAATTCTCCTGCACATGGGAGAATAAGCCTCAAGCAGGGTCAAGCTCCTTTATTGCATATCTAATGCTATTTTGTCAGCTCTGAAACCATATACACACAACCAACAGAAATGGACTGAACGTTTTTTATTCATATATTTGTGCATACTTATTCACACATACTTAACAAGGAAGAAATTAGAAGGGATGACTTTGAGAAGGGATGGAGAAAGGACAATGATGGTGGAAAGTGACATAATATATTTTAACTAAAATGTATTAAAATAAATTTTAAATAAAAATGTGGCTAGAGAGATAACTTAGCAGTCAAGACCACTAGGTGTGGTTGCAGAGGACACAGGTTCCATTCCCAGAAATCACCTGGTAGCTAACCATCTCCTGTAACTCCAGTCCCAAGGGATCTGATGCCCTCTTCTGGCCTCTCCAGGTACTGCACACAGATGCCTGAAGGCAAATACTCATATATGTAAAAAAATAAATCTTAAAAAATGGATTGCTCACACAATGCTGTTTAGCTCTATAGCCCATTTCTTTTCTTTTCTTTTTCTTTCTTTCTTTCTTTCTTTTTTTTTTTTTTGAGACAGGGTTTTTTTCTGTGTAGCTTTGCACCTTAACTGGAACTCACTTGGTAACCCAGGCTGGCCTCGAACTCACAGAGATCTGCCTGCCTCTGCCTCCTGAGTGCTGGGATTAAAGGCGTGTGCAACCACCACTCGGCTTAGCCCATTTCTTAATTAGACTGTTGGGCATTTTGATGTCTAATTTCTTGAGTTCTTTATATATTCTGGATCTCAGCCCTCTGTCAGAAGTGGTGTTGGTGAAGATCTTTTCCCATTCTGTAGGCTGTCACTTTGTCTTGTTGACTGTGTCCTTTGCTCTACAAAAGCTTCTCAGTTTCAAGAGGTCCCTTTGATTGATTTTTTCTCTCAGTGTCTGTGCTACTGGTGTTGTTTGTAATAGCCAGAACCTGGAAACAACCTAGATGCCCTTCAACTGAAGAATGGATAAATAAAGTGTGGTACTATACACAATGGAGTACTACTCAGCAGAGAAAAACAATGACATCATGCGATTTGCAGGCAAATGGATGGATCTAGAAAAAAAATCCATCCTGAGTGAGGTAACCCAGACTCAGAAAGACAAACATGGTATGTACTCACTCATAGGTGGATACTAGATGTAAAGCAAAGGATGACTAGACTGCTACTCACAACTCCAGGGAGGCTACTTAGTAAAGAGGACCCTAAGAAAGACACAGGGATTACCCAATGACAGAGAAATGGATGAGATCTACATGAACAAACTGGATGTGAGGGGGGTTAATGAAGGGCAAGGGTCAGGGGAAAGAGATCTTAGGGGAGCGGGAGATCCCAGCTTGATCAACAACAGAGAGGGAGAACAAGGAAAGAGATACCATGATAAATGAAGACTCCATGTGAATAGGAAGAAGCAAAGTGCTAGAGAGGTCCCCCAGAAATCCACAAAGATACCTCCACAATAGACTACTGACAATGGTCGAGAGAAAGCCTGAGCTGACGTACTCTGGTGATCTGGTGGCCGAACTGTCCTGGTAGAACTCTCATCCAATGACTGATGGACAGATGCAGAGACCCACGGCCAGGCCCCAGGTGGAACTCTGAGAGTCTAATGGTGAGAGAGAGGAAGGATTATATGAGCGAGAGATGTTGAGACCATGATTGGAAAAAGCACAAGGACAAATAGCCAAACTAGTGGAAACACATGAACTATGAACCAATATCTGAGGAGCCCCCAACTGGATCAAGCCCTCTGGATAAGTGAAATAGTCAATTAGCTTAAACTGTTTGGGAGGCCCCCAGTCAGTGGGACCGGTACCTGTCCTTAGTGCATGAGCTGGCTTTTTGGAGCCTGGGTTCTATGCTGGGACACTTTGCTCAGCCTGGGTGAAGGGAGGATGGGACTAGACCTGCCTGGACTGAATCTACCAGGCTGAGCTGAATCCCCAGGGGAGTCCTTGCCCTGGAGAAGGTGGGAGTGGGGGTAGAATGGGGGGAGGGAGGGGGGAATCCGTGGCTGATAGGTAAAAATCTAATAAATAAATAAATAAATAAATAGATAGATAGATAATGGAATTCTCTATCATGATGTCACAGCCCTGAGACAGAAAGCAGGCAAAGCTAGTTAAATGAACTCCTTCTGGTCCTGCATGGAAGCAACTGTCTAGTTTCTCTGAGCCAACAGGCTCAGAGGCAAAAGCAGCCTTTTTCTGAGGTTTGAATATCTCAGCAGGATTGTTCATAAGAACAGCATCCACACTGCTGATACATGACTTTTCCTTGATATTTCCTGTATTTGTGCTCTCATAATTTTGTATGTGTGAGAATTAAAGAAAATGATACATCTTTAAAAAGTATTGATACATCTTTTAAATATAGATTCTAGTGTATGAACTAAAAGATAGGTTTTTCTCTGTGAATC